GATCCTGCTGAAAATTTGGTCATAGGCTCCCTTTCAGTCCTGGAAGGTTGCTCCTGGCAGGGAAACCAGGGACACCCCAAGCACTCCCCATGGATGCTGCCGGATGCAGCCCCAGCTGAAGCATGAAGTGATTTGGCTCCTCACACCCAGAGCAGATGCTCCCACTGCCATGTCCATGCAGAGAGCCTGAAACCCCTGCAAGGCTGATGAGAAACAGGTGAGTGCTGATTTAGCCAGGAGATGCTCAGGACCCTCCTTCCCAAACGCCAAGAGCCCAAACAGCACATCCATCCCACCACCAGCACAGGACGCCCAACCCTCCAGATGAGCCAAGCACGGCAAGGTGGAAGGACAAAACCCCATCCTCAGTAAGGAATCTGCCCAGACATGCATATAATAACCCTGTTAATGCCATGACTCAGTCCCTAATACCTGCTGGTATTTACATAGGACTGGAATTTTCTAAGAGCAGCCCCTGCACGCTCAGAGTCGGATCAGGGCCGGGGCAGGAGGCTGTGCCAGCCTGCAGCAATGCGCTCTGGGCAGCCTAATTTACTGTTGGTGAAAAGCAGAGGAAAGAGAAGCGGGGAATTCAGTCTGCAGCATCCCAGTGCTCGTGTAAACACCATCAGTCACTGCTCCGTGCCAAGACCGGACACCGCAGGAGAAGCTGCACTTGGAAACACTTCCAGCTTTCCTCCTTTAGCTGTTCCCTGTGTCTGCATTCAGGTGTCACCCTGCTCCTCCAAAACAAGGTCTGCACGACAGAGGAGCCTGTGTGGGCAGCTGGGGGCAGAGGGAGGGGAGCGGGATGGGGCAGCCCCCGGCAGTCCCCGGTAGGAAGTGTTCTCCTGGCAGGAGATGCCAGCTGGAGAAACTTGTCCCTGGTAAAAGTGCTGCTGAATCCCGAGGATGGCACTGGAGTAGGGGGAGCTGCACCCCTGTCTCAGGCTCCTTGGGCTGGCAAAGTTGCTGGGAAAAGGGAACAGCTGGAAAAGCCTAAAGATTGACAACCCCCTGCCCCTAGGTGGGATCCGAGCCCCTCCATCCAGAAATGAGCATTTCCAGGGGTAAGGCAGAACAAAAGAGCCCCTTGCAGAGGCAGCTGTGGATCGCAGGGATCAGGGGCTGGGAGCAGAAATCCGGGATGCTGGCAAAGGCCAGCAGGGCCCCGGCACCCCGAGCTGCAGCTCCCCGGGGGCCCCTTGGGAACAAGCTGAGACGCGTGGTTTGGGTCAGGGCTGGAGCTGGGGGTGTGCAGGCGCCCACCCTCCCCAAAAACAGCGCAGGGCAACAACCGAGGCGATGTAAACCCCCCTCCCTGTGCTCCCCCAACAGCCCGTTCACCACCAAACCCCACCGGCTCCGCTCCCAGCCGTAATTTCGGCCGAGACCGACGGGAAGGGCAGCAAAGCCAAGACCAAGGGGAAGGGCAGCAAGCGGGCGGAAAGAGCCTGAAGCATCCTAAAACAATCGGGAACAGGAGCATCCCCCCCGAAACTGGGGCGGATTTTGGTGGAAAGGACGCGCAGAAGGCAGCGCCGGGGAGATGGAGCTCGAAGTAGCCGAGGGGTGCCGCGGTGACCCCCGAGGGGTGGGGAGCAGGGCAGGGGAGCCGAAGCCAGCGCAGTTTACCCACAATGTCCCCCTCGGGGCCGGTCGCTGTCGCTCCCCTCCGTCCGCCCAGCGGAGCCTGCGGCCTCGCACGGGCCGGCAGCTGCTCCGGCCCCGCTCTCGTCCGCAGAAAAGCGTCCCCAGAGAGGAAATGTGAGGAGGAGTGGCCCACGGCAGCACTTCCTTCTCCCCGTGCCATGGGATGGCCGCCGGACGGGTCCGTCTGTCTCGCCGCAGCCGCTCAGAGCCCGCTCGGCGCTGCCGTCACACCGTGCGGAACGAACGACGGGGCAGCGGGGTGAGCTCATCGCCCTCACCGCCCCGACAGCCCGGGGCTTGGGCAAAACATCCCCACCCGCCGGGGTGTCCTTAGTCATTAGCCGGGAAACCGGCCCCGAAAAGGTCAGAGCGGTGACGCTGCCGAGGGAGGTTATCGGGGCTGACCCTGCGCTCAGGGGTGAGAGACCTCGGCCGCGGGGAAAACAGGGAGAGCAGAACGCAGAGGGAACCTGAGGGAAATGAGTAAGTCTATAGAAACGGCGAGTCTGGAAAAAAAACCCCAGCAAGTCCGGAGCGGTTGGTTTGTCTGTCCCTGTGCGGGGTCCCGCTCCGCTGCCCCCCGGCCCTCCCGACCCCACGGAGCATTTTGGCCCCTTGGCAGCGCTGGCCCTGCGGCACAGGGACACGGGGACACGGGGACAGCCAGGGCCAGGCTGCTGTGGGACCAAATTCTGGTGTGGGGACAGAAACTCCCCGGGGAAAACCACTTCATCCATCAGCTGCATTCAGAGACGGAAGCAAAGGGGAGAGGTTCTGTGCCCAGCAGTGCAAAGGCTCATCACGGCAGCTCCTCCTCACCTGCGCCTGCACTCACCTTACCTTTAGCCCTAACAAACACGCCCTGGAAACTCCCACCTCTCACCTGCACTTGCACAACCCGGCCAAGGCTTTTTTTCCCCCAAAACAAGCCCATTTGGTAAAGCCAGAGCAGCCCAAAGCAATCTCTTGCTGGCGTTTCAAGCTCCTGTTTTTGAATAACCCCTCCAGCTGGCACCCGCTCCCTCCCAGCTGCACAGGACCGAAAATAAGGGAAAAAAAACGAATTTGGAGTGTATTGGAGCATCAGGGCACAGATCCCAACCTGGCTGTGTAAGGGGATGCTCCAAGCAGGGTCCCCCCAGCCTGGAGTCACAAAGTCTCCCCAGCCCCGTGCCAGGCAGCTGGATGTGCCTCTGCTGGGGCCAGCGGGGATTTGCCTAACAAATCCTTGCAAATGTGGGGATTTCTGTGTCACGAAGGGGCAGGAGCTCAGCTGGAGCAAAGCCACTGGCACAAAGCGTCTGGGAGCTGCCCTCGGGGTCGGGGAACACGGCAGGGCTGACCCCAAGTAAAGGTCCCCCCTGGAGGAAGTTTTGGGAGCAGCCAGGAAGAAAGATGCTTTTCTGGCTAATTCAGGTTTTTGAGAAGGAAGAGCTTCCTCTGAGCAGCATGGTTGAAAACCATTTTTAAAAAAAACCCCAAACACAATGCCCCCCCCAAAACAAACAAAAACACCAAAAACAAACAAACAAACAAACAAACAAAAACCAAAACCACACAAAACCAAACTCTAAAAGAAGCAAAATTAGAGGAGCAAGAAACTGCTAGCTGCTCTTGAGGACTGTCAGTGAACCTCAACAGCCCAGAAAAAACTATCTTGCTGTAACTGGGAGGGAGCTTGATCCCTCCCAGCACCCCGTGGAGAGGGCAGGAAGCCTCCAAAATGCAGCAGGAAACCCAGGGAGGGTGGAAGCAGAGCTGGAAGTGCCTGTGAGGGACGTGCACCCTGCCCAGGAAATTCGGGTTCTGAACTCCTCCCGAGCTGGGGGACAGAGGGCACTGCTGGGGCCACGGCTGGAGCAGAGGGTGACAAGTTCCTGGTGACAACAGGGACGTGGGACTGACCACCCTACGACCCCCCCCGGTGCTGGGGGAGCCCGATGGCACACGGGGACGAGGATCTGGAGGGGCAGCACAGCCACTGCCAGCCTGTGCCCAACCCAGAGCTGTGGGGTGAGGGGGTGATGCAGGGCTGGGGACACTGCCCTGGTGTCAATGCCAGCCTCCAAAATCACCAGCTCAGTCTGGAGTGGCTGCTAAAACATCCAGGGAGCACCTGGGGAGGGCAGGGGCAGGGCTGGCACCCAGAGGTGTCCCATGGGGGGAGGTCCCTCCAGCACGGCCCGTCGGGCAGGGGGGGGCAAGGGGGACAGGATGGTGGAAAACAGCCCCTGCTCACATTCCTAGCCAAAATATCACCTTGTGCCATGTCCCCCCCACGGGGCTT